TTCTCAGTGAGTACCTGCAATTTGGGGGCATTTTTGGAAAAGATAACTCATACATTTCCTAGTTCTTGCGGTTCATGATGAAGAGCCCCAATAGAGGCTCCCCCCCCCCACTAAACGAATTGGACATTTGCAATGGCTCAAGAAAAGACATTAGCCAGTGAAACTGCACTGCACAAGTGGCAGAAACCAGAAAGAGAAACTGAGGTACATGGTATCGCATTGAGTGGATTAAAAATGCAAAGCAACAAGCTCAGATAACATAAGAACGCCTTCTTCGCAATTCACTGAACATAGATTCAGACGTATCAACATCTGCGTATACTGCAGAGGATTATATATTCTGTGCAGATTGAAGAATGTAGAATGTAGCGGTTTTTCAATAAGGTGATATGCTGTGTTAGTATGACCTCAACACTGTACTAAAAAGTCAGATGACCTAGTTTCAGATGAACTTGACTTTTCAAAGGTTAATGAAGATCAGCAGCTGCATCATGTTCAGAATGTGTATAAGAACTAGCCAAGATGATGTAACAATGTTAATTGAAGCTTAGTAGACGATGTTTTGGACTACATTATGCATGGATAGCAAGAATACTTTCTATTGCATATTTTCAAAAGAGCCTCCTCTCAAATTTATTTATTGATACATTAATTTATATGGACGTCCATCTATCCAAAAAACTCTTGGCAGCAAACAAGATGAAAACAAAGGGTTGCAATAAACCTTACCAAACAATGAATAAAAGGATATTGAAATTCATTTAAACTGCAACACCACTAATCGCATACAACCAGCCCACTACTAACATCTTGACTCTGATGCCTATGGGAAAAACCCTTTTGAAAGACCAGTAGACTACAAACTGTCCACGTTTTGGGGGCGGAGGGGGGGGGCAATGCTGTTCCATAGGCCAGGTGGCATAATAGAAAAGGCATGCTTTTGGGGATCACCAGAAGACATTGTTTTTTCAGTGGTACCAGAGCACACCTACTTTACCAGATCTGGTAGAATGGGCAAAAATAACCAGGGAGAGGCAGTCCTGCAAAAACTCTAGTCCTAAGCTATTTAACACTTTAAAGGTAACAATCATCTTTACCTGTCCTCAAGCCTATTAGGAACTGGTACCACTTACCGTGTTTCGCCGAAAATATGACACGGTCTTATTTTCTTTTTACTTACAAAATATGGCCTTGGGCTCATTATAGGGGAAGGCTTATTGTTTTGGGGTTGCCGGACAGCTGCTCCCTTGCGAACTGACTCCCAAAGAGCCGGGCACAGCCTCAGGGGCGAAGTAGCCATGAGGTGACCAAGCTCACGAGCAACCGCCTGGCAAACCCCCTCTCAAGCCGGGCAGAGCGCCATTCACTGACCTAGGGGGTATCCCTAAGGTGCCAAGCCACGTGGTGCTCTGCCCGTTTCCCAGCTCCCGCGGCTTGGCACATTAGGAATATCCCCTAGGTCAGTGANGAAATCAGAGTTCAGAAGAGAGGGAAGGGGGATATTTTCAGTCACATTTAAAGACATTAAAAAACACTGCGCTGCAGTTTGAAACTTGTGCACGGTGTTGTTTTGTAACCTGCGTGGCCGCGCACGCGCGCAGTTTATAGGGAACGCTGCTCTGAAGCGGTATATAAATCTAAGTGCTATTGCTATTGCTATTGCTAACACAGTTCAGGCTCAGAAGCCTTAATAAACACTCCTTACACCTGTGTTATGTCTGTGCATGAGTAGGACAATACACTGTGCTGATTTACCACTAGCCTATCAAGTACTTAGAAGGTGATGCCTGGGCAGCAGAAGCACAAGCAAACAACAGCTAGTGACTTAAAAGCCAGCCATCAACACACTCCAAACAGCATCTAAAAAGCTACTTATAACACATGAAGAAAATATCATGAACTGAACAGCACACGCTCGGCTGAGCTGAACATGGGGTCCAGCACGAGTCTCAATGCTTGGAAGACTAAACCCCTGGTAATCGACCCAGATTGGATCCTGCATGATATAATGATAAAACTTAGACTTATATATTGCTTTACCGTGCTTTACAGTTCCCCTTTACAGAGTCAGCCTCTTGCTCCCAACAATCTGGGTCCTCATTTTATCCATCTCGGAAGGATGGAAAGCTGAGTCAACCTTGAGCCGGTCAGGATTGAACTGCTGGCAGTGGGCAGAATCAGCCTGTAATCCTGAATTCTAACTACACTGCCACCACGGAAGGAAGGAAGGAAGGAAGGAAGGAAGGAAGGAAGGAAGGAAGGAAGGAAGGATGGATTAGCAATAGCAGACATATACCACTTCACAGTGCTTTTATAGCCCTCTCTAAGCAGTTTACAGAGTCAGCCTCTTGCCCCCAACAATCTGGGTCTTCATTTTACCCACCTCGGAAGGATTGAAGGCTGAGTCAACCTGGAGCTAGTCAGGATTGAACTTCAGACAGTGGGCAGAGTTAACCTGCAGTACAGCATTCTAACCACTACACCACCATGGGAGGGAAGGAGGGAGGGAGGAAAGGAAGGAATAGAAATAGCACTTAGACCTATATACTGCTTCACAGTGCTTTTACAGCCCTCTCTAAGCGGTTTACAGAGTCAGCCTCTTGCCCCCAACAATCTGGCTCTTCATTTTACCCACCTCAGAAGGATGGAAGGCTGTCAACCTTGAGCTGGGATGGATGGATGGATGGATGGATGGAGAGGGGAAGGAGGAAGGAAGGAAGGAAGGAAGGAAGGAAGGAAGGAAGGAAGGAAGGAA